GGAGGCAGCACTATCCCTGCCTGACCTCAAGTTCTACTATAGAGCTATAGTAATAAAACAGCTTGTTATTGGCATAAAATCCCACACATGGACCAATGGAATTGATTGAAGACCCTGACATTAATCCTTACACCTATGAACACCTGATTTTTGACAAAGAAGCCAAGACTGTACAATGGAAAAAAGAAAGCATCTCCCACAAATGGTGTGGGCATAACTGGATGTCAACATGTAGAAGATTGCAAATAGATCCATATCTATCACCATGCACAAAACTCAAGTCCAAGTAGATCAAAGACCTCAACATAAATCCAGTTACACCAAACCTGATAGAAGAGAAAGTAGAAAGTAGCCCTGAACACATTGGCACAGGAGACCACATCTTAAATATGACACCAGTAGCATAGACACTGAGAGCAACAATTAATAAATGGGACTTCCTAAAACTGAGAAACTTCTGTAAGGCCTTAAAGGACACAGCCAATAAGACAAAATGACAGCCTACAGAATGAGAAAAGATCTTCACCAACTCCACATATGACAGAGGGCTGATCTCCAAAATATATAAAGAACTCAAGAAACTAGACATCAAAGTACCAAACAATCCAATTAAAAAATGGGCTACAGAGCTAAACAGAAATTTCAGCAGAAGAATCTTAAATGGCCTAAAGATGTTTAAGGAATTGTTCAACATCCTTTGTCATCAGGGAAATGCAAATAAAAACAACTCTGAGATACCATCTTACACCTGTCAGAATGGCTAAGATCTAAAACACTGATGACAATTTATGTTGGAGAGGATGTGGAGTAGGCGGAACACTCCTCCAATGTTGGTGGGAGTACAAACTTGGACAGCCACTTTGGAAATCAGTATGATGGTTTCTCAGAAAATTGAGAATCAATCTACCTCAAGACCTCAAGACTGAGCCCTACTACTCTTGGGCATATACCTGAGGAATGCTCAATCATACCACAAGGACACATGCTCAAGTATGTTAATAGCAGCATTATTCCTAATAGCCAGAGCCTGGAAACAACCTAGATGCCCCTCAAACGAAGAGTGTATAAAGAAAATGTGGTACATATACACAATGGAGTACTACTCAGCAGTAAAAAAAAAAAATGACATCATGAAATTTACAGGCAAAAAACAAAAGAAAAAAGAACTGGAAAAATATCATCCTGAGTGAGGTAACCCAGACTCAGAAAGACAAACATGGTATGTGCTCACTCATAAGTGGATACTAGATGTGAAGCAAAGGATAACCAGACTATAACCCACAGCTCCAAAGAAGGACCCTAAGAGGGACTCAAGGATCACCCTGGGGAGGGGAAATAGATGAGATCTTCTGAGTAAACTGGAGATAAGGGGGGTGGGCAATAAGGAAATGGGATGGTCAAGCTGAAACAGGAACAAAGTGAGAGAGCAATGAAAGAGATATCTTGATAGAGGGAGACCTCATGGGGATAGGGAGAAACCTGGTGCTAGGGAAATTCCCAGGAATCCACAAGGATGACGCAGCTTAGACTACTAGCAATAGTGGACAGGGTGCCTGAGCTGGCCTACCCTGGTAATCAGATGGGTGACTACCCTGTCATCATAGAGCCTTTATCCAGTAACTGATGGGAATAGATGCAGAGATCCACAGCCAAGCACCAGGCTGAGCTCCAGAAGTCCAGTTGAAGAGAGGGAAGAGTGATTCTATGAGCAAGGGGCATCAAGATCATGATGGGGAAATCTACAGATACAATCGAACCAAGCTAGTGGAAACTCGTGAACTTTAAATCAATAGCTGTGAAGCCTGCATGGGGCTGGACTACGCCCTTTACATAAGCGAGACAGTTGGATAGCTTCGTCTGTTTAAGGGGCCACTGATGGTGGTAATAAGATCTATTGCTGGTGCGTGAACTGGCATTTTGGAGCCCATTACCTATGTTGGGACACCTTGCACAGCCTTGATGCAGGGAAAGCGGCTTGGACCTGCCTCAACTGAATGTACCAGGCTTTGCTGACTCCCCATGGGAGGCCTTACCTTTATGGAGGAGGGCACGGGGTGGGGGGGGGTGGGGGGGGTGGGGGTGGGCTGAGAAAGAAGCCAGGTGAGGGGGGGGGCGTGGGAGGAGGGAGGAGAGGGAGATCTGTGGTTGGTATGTAAAATGAATAATAATTTCTTAATAATAAAAAAAGTCTTCCTCTTTTTTCATTTCCTTTGAACAAAAACAATTTTGACAAGAAATCTTCAGAGAAGTTATTCCACATTTCAATGTACTATTTTGGATATCGCTTTTGACTGAGGCTGTTTGCAGACTAGACTATTAGTATCCCATATATTCTCTCTACCTCAAAAAGAGTAGATTCACTTTTATCTTGGGAACAAAGCTCAATAGAAAATTTTTTTTAAAACTTTTCTTAATTCATGAAACATTTATCTTCGAGTCAGGTTTTGTTACAGCAGCACAAACGTGGTCAGTCAGCATTTCCATTGTAACTGGTACTTCCAGGGCTGTTCAAGAGAGCCTCAGAGACTCTCCTTTGAATTAAAACTTGGCACTCAGGATTTGAATCCAGAAACCACATTTTCCCTACCAATTAATCAAATAATTTAGAGAGTCTCAAGTTGGAAGCAGACAAAATGCAAAACTTTATCTCTGCAAAAAAAAAAAAGTTTGAAGATAAACCTTACAACTTAAAACATTGTAAAAATGTTTAACGTTCATTATGCAAGTATAATATTGTATTACCCTATAGTCATTCTCAAAGAAAATGGAATCAAAGTGTCTATAAATAAATGTAGTAGTGATTATAAAAATCTCATACTCGACCTGCTTGGCTTTGTGAGTAATTTATTTCGACTTTGGGAATTGAGATTGTTTGTGGTCCTTGGCATAATTGCTTTAAAGGGCAACAGCATTAAGAAACTGGATCAGAATAACAAGGGGAGGGGAGCAGATCCTCAGAGACTGTGAACTTGCTCTTTTATGAACTCCAAACTTCTGTGGAGAAAATTCTGAATCCCGTGAACGTAGATTAGTAGCATGCATCGATTCTGTAAAGAGACACTGGAAATTTAAATTGCTGAGCATAATGGCAGCCCTGAATCCTAAATGCAACCTAATGACAAAGGGCTACCAAGATTGCTTAGTTTAGGAAAGTGTAAAAAATGACCAATAGCATTTCAGTAACACTGGAGAATCTGCCTTTCATCTCATTTTGTAGCTTTTCTCGTTCAGTCTTTTAAGACTTCAAGGTAGTGAGTGACAATAGACCTAACTGCCCCTCTTATCAGTCCCCAGCCAGCTCCCCTGACCTTCCTTGTTCTTCCAGAAACATGCCTGCATTCTCCACACCTGGAAACCTTTCCTCTAGCTTTTCATAGTACGAGGAGCATTGGCCAAAGCAGAGGTCTACTCTGACTCCACTTCTAACTTTGGGTTTTATTTAGACTTTACTTTTAGCTAAGACCAAAGGGGTCACTCTGCTTAATCACATGTTTGCCAGTTGCTCCTTATAGCAATAAGGGAATTTTCCCTTGTGCCCAATGAAGGTTTGCTAAACTGAACCAGCACAGACACTTTAACAGGAGAAAACACATACAAAGTTATTGACCTGTCCATTTGTGCAGGAAGCTCAAAGAAGGGACCACTGGCTGGAGTTAAATACCTTCTTTGGAGGAAAGAAGAAAGTGGGGGCTGGAACAATTTTTGAAGACTGGTCATGGCTTTTAGGGGAATTGATTGGGCCCAAGGGAAAGACAGGAGGTGACAAGTGGTTCTGGAGCTGGAAAGCAGAGAAGAGCATATAAGAGGAGCTTCCTTGATATAATGTCACTCGCCTTCCTTCCTGTTACTCCAGCTCCCTTGGATAATGAGATTTGGGAGAAGGTCTAAGGATGATGGCATTACTTTTGGGAGACCTTCTTCAGTCAGATAAAGGAGCTTCAGAGAGGAAACCTCTGGCCCTTGGAGGAGGAAGGAAGGGAAAATAGGAAAATGGAGCTATCTGGATTCTGAGACCCTGTCTCCACCTCAGCATGCTAAAGTGACACACATCGCTATCATTTTCTGAGCCCCAATATGTCTCAGTCCCAAACTAATGCTATCTTTTACCTGGTTGGATGCTTTCTTATCATCCACTAACACTCTCTTTGCATTTTAAATGAAATAGCTGTCTCTTCTCACTTATGGTCCAGGAGCGTGACAGTACGTTTCCTTTTGTAACATAGGTAGCAGGCACACAGAATTGTGCCAAACAATATTGGTTATTCAGAAACTGCTTGTTGAATAAATTATTCAATGAAATCTGAATTTCAAAGTTCACAACAAGAATCTCCAAACAATAGTCCGGTTGTAATCTTCCCTGTGTCTAAAGATGTTATTTTTCAAATATAGTCAAAACTCCCCTTTGAACATCAGTTTCAAGATGAAAGGCTCCACATGCAACTTCCTCACTGCAGTGTGTTATGGGTCCATCTTTTCTGAAAACATTTAAACTGAAACTTGGAGATTTTCATACTTAATTTTAACTACACTTCAGAAGAGATAAGGCGAGTGGGTGGATGTGTGCCTGTCTGTCACAAAATAGATAAATTCTTATTGTGTGAAATACCATCACACATGTTCTATAGTATTTAATACATGTAATAATAATATTAAAACTCAGCTCTGAAATGCGAGGTCTTATTCCAGCCTTATAATTTTAAAAGAAAAAGGACAGATCCACATCCCCGGCCAACCTCAGTGATAGTGGGGATGCTATACTGTTAAAGAGAGCACCACTGGAGTCACAGGTAGAGTTCCCTAACAGGCCCATGGTCCAAAACAGCAAGAGTAGACATCCAGCACAAAGAGCCACACTGTGAAACCTCCAGCAAGCCCTGCCTTGATTGTTCCGAATAGCACCTGATGGAACATCTATTATTTTCTTTTCCAATGTGAGAATGCATCTTTTTATCATGAACTAAACATTACTTAAATAAAATCATCTCTACTTTATCTCTTAGGGTAAATGTGAGCAGTCTCTGTATGGTCACATGCATTCCATCAACGATGCCACCTTCACGTCTAGGGTGAGTTCAATTCTCTCAATAACTCCATACAACTCTTCATATGTCAAAATTAACTTTAATGAAAGTTGTTTCCAAGGTAAAATGAAAATGTAATAAGCTGAGGACAATAAATGAGGAATTAACTGTAAACAATAGGGAAATGTGTGGAAAGGGAAGATGTGTGCAGAACTTTGTAGCTTACAAACACACACACACACACACACACACACACACACACACACACACACACACACACACACAGCAGTAGCAAGAGAGAGGAGGAAGGCTTTAGTGTACACCTTTAGTGTATCACCATTCTCACTCAGCACCTTTTGTCCAGCACAAGCTTCAGAAGGTAAATGAGATAGGTGGGGCATCAACTTTGCAGTTCTGGGGACTGGACTCAGGGTCTTGCATGTATCAGACAAACAGCCTAGATTGCCTCGGCTCTTAGAATCGAAGTGCTGCTATGCAGATTGAGCTGTCTTTGAACTAATATTGAAGACCAGACTGACCTCAAACACATACATAATCCTCTTCCCTCAGTACGTGTCACAACGTCTGAAGGATTCATTCTTAAATGCAAAATCTTAAATGAAAATAAAAATGGCAGAATTGAAATGTAGAAAATAACAGTGGAGAAATAACAGCTTTTCTTCAGTTTACTACATATAAGTAGGTAAGAAGGACATTTTATTTGTAACTAGATGTATTCAGATAGAAGGATGGTTCAGCATGGCTTTGAATTGCTAAGCTAATTGACGATGTCTTTAAAGGGGTTCAGATAATAACCATAGGAGCATGATTTACGTTTGTGCCTTCTCAGATGAAAGCAGTTTGACTAGATAGATGGCCTCTCAAGTTCCTCAAACTCTGTGATTTAATTATATCTAACATCTTAATTCATCTCTAAGTTCCCAGTAGAGTAAAAAGTCCTAATTCTATATTCCTCCTCTTTTCCAATTAGCTGAAAAGGAAATCTGATAGATCGCTCACTCCGAACTTCAAAATGACAGCATAGTCAAAATTCTGTTACTGCCCTGCTCTTATTATGCTTTAAGAAAGAAGGAAAAAATACTCACTAAAAATTATATCTTCTGAGGGAATGTTGAGTGCTCTAACTGAAACTGTATGGCTGTGTCTGCCACTCCCAAGAGTTTTAACGATGGGCACTACCACAATTAGATTGTTACAAATTTGTCTCTGTAAGGAACATTCCATTTAATTGACTGTAGTGAGCCAATTAGTTGAAAAATATTATATTATGGATTGGTCCTAGATACCAAGTAAAATTTTATTTCTAACGGAATATAAAGATAGTTAAACACCATGAGCCACATGATATAGGATATTTATGCTGAAACTTTTATTAAGCCTTCTCACGCTCAAGGAAAATTAAATGGAAGCTGAAATGAAGTAATTTTATATTTCATAAGCCTGGCGTTTTATTTTGGTGAGTAATATCATGGTGAAAAAGACACACCATTCAACATTATGAACAGTAAAATAAATAAATATGGAAATTCCAAAATTAGATTTGCTGAATTGGCCATCCAAGCAGATACACATTAATTGTATGTACTTCAAAGGGCCAGATAATATGAAGTCCAGGTCCAAAGTCAAAGTGAGCAACATGTTGCTGCTCGCTCATAGGAAAAAGAAAGATGGCTTTATCACTTTTCCACACAAGCATCTCAAAGACTTTCTGGAAACTCCCACTAATTAGCTCTTCTAAAAGAATTTATTAAGTATTAAGAAATAGTGTTTTTTACGATGGCTCTCATCCTTAGGTGAAATTTATGGTCACCAGTGTTAATTGTTTGAAAAATGCATCATGTGTAACACACCTGCCAAGGAATGTCAGGAGGTTAGGGTATCAGAGTGAGCACAGAGCGCAAAGCCATTGTGACAGTGTTAACGCTCAGGCAAGCATCAGTCAAGGCAGTGATAACAGTCATGTTATACACTATATATACACACAACAAACAGATTTTAATTTTGTATTAGCCTTGCTAATTGCTTGATGCCTCTAGAGAAAGCAATGATGTTACATTAGTAGCTAAAATTGTATTTGACTGTATATGCAAGCACAGACTCAGGAAAATTCTGCAGTTTGATATTAGTAAGCAGACGTCACAAGTATAAAAGTCAGTGCCAACAGTCTTGAAAACATTTGCAGAAGCAATTTGCATATGGCCCTGAAAACTATGGGAGTTGAATTTTATGTCATTGTTTATGAAAGTTCTAATGTCTTCATTTGTGACTGATTTCTCTCTGGGAAGTAAATGTTTATTTAAAATCTATTCTTAAAGCATTCTGTAATGAAATATTTGAAGGAAACAAGAAAGTGCTTTGTTTTTCTTCCTAAGTCCTTCTTACAAAGCAAGACCGGAACATCAGAAAGGAAGAAGGTGGTTATTTCTGCCAAAAAAAAAAAATTAATAGGCAGAAAATATAATGTAACAAAAGATTAGAAACAGCAATTATGGAGCATACTGACTTGTGGACTTGTGTAGATGAATCATCTGCAGAAGGAAACTGAGAATGGAGGTCCTATTGCATGTCTCTCCTGACACCTGTTTACTGTGGAATCAGCCCAGGATGGACTGGGATGGAATTCCTTCAGGCACTCAACGTGCCCGTCAGCTTCTTTCTACTTCTCTGGTCATTTTTGTTTGCATTTTAGTCATTCCTAGAAATTGACCCTGCAAACAGTTGGTGTTTATTAGATATAGCAATGCATGTTCTTCGTTCTTTGACTACAGTTGGCCTCTCCTCTTTCCTTCAGGGTAACATTTTCTCTTTGCTGAAGAATATTCTCTGGTAGTTCTTTCAGAGAGAATGCAAAATTCTGAGTCTTTGCATATCAGATAATTCCATTATTTCCTTTACATTTCAGTGTTCATTTTTTTTCTCCTAACACTGTTGTTGCAAAGGAGACTATTCTCCATAGAACAAACTGATCATTTACAGAAAATGTTTGATTTTTCTCCCTTATATGTTGTGATATCTTTAATATATTCTATTTGAGTTTCTACAATACATCTACATGTGGATTTGTGTGCTTTTTGTCTGTTTTCAAGAGCTGGTGTACTTTTTGTGAATTGCCTTTATACAATTCAACTAAAAGTTATGGCATTGTTCTCTAAATATTATTTTCTTGTCATTCCCTTCTAGATTTTCCTTAAGAAGCATTTATATGTTTGTTAAAACGTATTATTCAAAATCCACAACCCTTTATTGTGTGTGTGTGTGTGTGTGTGTGTGTGTGTGTGTGTGTGTGTGTGTGCATTCGTATGGAGGCAAGCGGTTAACCTATAATGTCATTCCACAGCAGCCCTCTACCTTGTTTTTTGCAAAAGAAAAAAAGGAGAAGAAGAAAAAAAACTCACACTTGGACCTGAGTTTCATCAATTATGCCAACCCTGCAAGCCCCAGGGATCCTCTTGTCTGTACCTGCCCAGTGGTGGGATTAAAACTGGTGCCACCATACTCAATATTTTCCATGGATATGAGGGATTGAATAAATTTCCTCATACTTGTACTGCAAGCATTTTACGGGCTGAACTATCTACTCATCACTGTACTTAAATTATTTTTGAATTCCCTACGCTTTCAATTTTGTGTCTTTTTTGAACTGGTTTTCCCAGATCTCCATGACTTCTCTGAAACTATAGTGGCCTATGTCTTTGAAGCATGGGCAGTTCTCAGTTGCAGTTATGCCTGTACCCTAGTACCTTTTGGATTCTGACTTTGCCACACAAAACATAAAAACATACTTATTCAGCTTATTATAAATAACGTAAATATAAAGCCACAGTATATAGTTTTCACTTTAACAAAATACTAATACTAAAATTATTCTAAATTAATTATGCAACTATTTAAATGGATATTTTCAATAGGAGTATTTTGTCTCTTTTATATTGGAATATGTCACATAATTATTAGTAAAGACTTTAGATTTTCAAGTGAAAGCTCATGGTAAAGAGCCTTACTTACTTAATGCTGGCAGGGGACACACGTTTAGTCCCCAGCAGCACATCTGGAGCTCACACTGGCTGTAGCTATAGCTGTAGGGGATTTGGTGTCCTCTGCTGGCCTCTGTGGACATTCAGCTCACATATATGTACAGACATACACACATACATACATACATATTTGTATGTGTATATGTATAGACACACCAATCTTTAAAAGAAGAGTTTGAGTGGGATCTGAAAAAGGTTAGGCATTTTTCTTAGTGGCCTCTATATGGTCATATAAGCATTAATTTCTTTGTCCTTTTTTTTTTTTTTTTTGGTTTTTCAAGACAGGATTTCTCTGTGTAGTTTTGATGTCTGTAGCCCAGGCTGGCCTCCAACCCACAGAGATCCACCTGCCTCTGCCTGCCTGCCAAGTGCTGGGATTAAAGGCATGCACCACCATCTGGCCTCATTGACCTTTCTTTAAAATCATTGATAAACACTTGCCTACCCAAAATAATTATCCTCACTTGATTTTAACTAAAACAAAAAGAATTTCTTGTTTCGTGTGTATGTGTGTGTGTGTGTGTGTGTGTGTGTGTGTGTGTGTGTGTGTGATGTTTGTGCATGTGTGTGTGTTCTAACAGACTCAAGTAGAAACAAGATTTATGTAGTTTTGATATCTGGTCATTTCATATAAAAATGCAAAATAGTTAGGTCAATGCAACCATTGATCCAGAGAAGGACAATGCCATCAGACACCACAAACATTTCTATTTTGTTTGCTTCTTTAGCACTCTAGATTGATGTCAGTCAATATTTAACTGGACCAATAATATTGATATTTGATGTCAATTTGTATTAACTCCTGCACCTACATGATACATAAGTCAAAGTTTTATGTGTGCTGGAAAACAGTGCATCATATCCTGTCCATCTAGCAAAACTGGAAAACAATAGACTAGAAAACATAGTTCTATGTAACATGTTATTTTATTTTACATAATATTTTAATAATTTCAGTGCTCCTATATACTCAAAAAGTTAAATATATTT